ATAAAATAATTGCAAAACGTGACGTTGACAAATAAAATAACAAAATAAATTAAATATGTATTTCAATAAAAGTTTATTTGGATAATACCTAATGTTGTATATACCGAGACAACACGTTTGTACTGATATAATGTAATACGTGAAACAAATGAAACACGTTTGCTTAAAGTGGGTAACCGTGTGACTCAGTACGGTTATACTCGAGTCGAGGAAATAGTAAGCAGAACTTATTCCTGTAATGGGGTGGAACGCTTGAAGACCCTCTTTCCCGAGTCTATGCCTCGGACCACTTAGTGATAAACTTGGCGATGTTACGACACCGTAGAATGTCGTGTCTCATACGAAATACAAGGAACTGGGACATCGCCCATTGGAAGATGGCTTCTGATACACCAATTTTCAATTATTGATAAACCACAAAACGTGTTCCATAGTACGAATATAAAAAACGTGAAATCGGGTTATAAAAAAAAAAAAAAAGTGAAGACGAGCGTCGTTGAACGCGTCGGGTCTGATAAATTGAAGCGTCGATGCGCATCGACGAGCTCTAATTCTTCTGAATCTAGTAGGGATTTCCCGCGACATTCTGATTTGTCCGCCGCGCTTCAAATTGGAGTACTGCCAACAGGGTTTTTATTGCACTGGAACAAGGTTGTGCAAGTGAGACCGGCGATTTAATTATTAAACATTGTGCCCGTTGAAAAGCTACAGACAATGTGATAAGACCGTGTTTCACGAGTCGCACCAGTTGAATCCTTCCGTGGTTCGAGGAGAATTAGACCGGAAACATGGAATTATAAATCCGTGCTCGACACTCGTTGAAAGAATAGTTCGTTATAACGATACGGTTACTGCCATTGCAATTTAATAATCGTGTGTCATTTACGAAGGATCTTACATTTGCCCAAAAACAGTCAAAATTAATTCCTTGGGCAATCTAGTGTTAAGAACGCTGGTACGTAGAAATAGAAAGTCTCATTAAATATGCATGAAGCTTATCGAACAGAAAACTTTGAGGTTGATTCAATATCTTCAAAATCGTATGCGATGATCAGATAAAAGAATAAGTGATTTAATGTAACAAGTTGTAATACGAAGTATTTGTTAACAGGATATAATTAATAATTCTGTGAGGCAAGACTTCAGGTTTGACGATGTAGACGATATAATAATCTTGAGAAATAAGATTGAGAAAACAAGGATTCTGAGATAATAAGATCGAAATGCTCGTGAACTGTGTAAATACGACCTGATTAGAGTAATCTCTCCAGGATCTCATGGAAATAATTGAAAGGTACGAATCTAACAAGTGTTTTAGTAGAAACCTAGTGATCAGTAGATCATACGAGGACTTTGAATGAGATTCTATGAATGATAGAAGCTGTTCAACCTTGGCCATGAATCCGGGGTTCCAGTATTCAATAAAATCTGACTTTTATCCTATAAGGATCGAAGGACGTATCATTAAACATCGTTTCTTAAACCGACCTACCCTAAAACTTGTATTTTGCATAAAAAGTCGTCTAGCAATATGGAACGCGACTATACAGGGTGTACCAGAAAAAGGGTGATTCTGGAGATATTTCTGAACAACAATTTCCTTTGGCAAAATGCAAAGTGGTTTTTGAATTATTAGCGAAAAATACTGACCAATGAGAGAATGAATAGGGCTTGCTTTGAGCCTCACAAGTCGAATCCCCGCTCCCGTGGCTCTTATTGGTCAGTGTTTTTCGTTAATAATTTAACACTAGATTGCCCAAGGA